TTATTGTATTTACCCTTTTTGTGATGTGAGATGATAAATTGCTTTTGTGATGAGTTTAAATGAGATGAATGTCATAGGCACTGTGGTGTAACATTAGGCTACTATTGACCTTGAACACAAGCAATGTGATACTTTGAGAGTTAGTCTGATAATCTAGATGGCAGCTAAGTGACTAATGAGCAGGTGGTGTGTACAGCATGGATACACTAGACAGAGGGATGATTCTCATCCTATAGGGCAGTGTGAGGTTTCATTGCACTACTCAGAATGGTGTACAATTTAAAACTTATGAATTGTTAGGCCAGGTGCAGTGGTTCATACTTATAATCCTAGTACTCTGGGAGGCAGATGTGGGTGGATTGCTTGATCCCAGGAGTGCAAGATCAGGTTGGGCAACATGGTAAAACCCCGTCTCTGTCAAAAAACATAAACATTAGCTGGACATGGTGGCATGTGCCTATATTCCCAGCTACTCAGGAGGCTGAGATAGCAGGATTGCTTGAACCTGGGAGACAGAGATTGCAATAAGCCTAGATCATGCCACTGCACTCCAGCCTGGGCAACAGAGTAAGACCCTGCCTCAAAAATAAGTAAATAAACAAATAACTTTTGGATTGTTTATTTCTGGAATTTTTCATTTAATATTATTTTCAGACTGCAGTTTACTCTGGATAACTGAAACCATGGAAAGCAAAACCTGTATTTGGTTTCTTAGTTCAAGAATATTTTTTATTTTTGGAACTGTGAAGAGTAGTTTCCTTAATAAATGATGTCTTTTGGGATGCTGGTTGGTTGATTTTCTGTTCCTTGATACTAATGTGTTTCTTGAGATTTTAAACTTCATCTACTTTCTTCCTTCTCTTTCTTGGTAGCCAAGTCTCCAAAGGGCACCTCGCTCATTCCTGTGTTTCTCACAAGACTTAACTTTTGAACCAAAGTACTTTTGGAGCCCTTTCTTTACCTCTTCAGGAACCAGTGCTATGGTATCCACTAGGTCTTGTACCGATTCACTCTTCTTCTAGGGGAAATCCTAAGTTGATATTGCTTGTGTTTTGCAATGCCTACCTCACTCTTTTCTTAGATGGCAAGACCTCCACAGCTGGTTTTGTTGGTTTCAGATGCTAGTTTCCCCATTTACATGTAAATTATAATTTGTAGAAGTCTCTGTTTTCTAGTTATGCTGTTGGTGTGGACTGTAGGTCATTTTATTTGCTTTCCTTGTTAATCTGAGGCGTTTGTAGAATGTGTGAAAATAATCTGATTTAGATGCTACCACTGTTTTACAGTAACTAGTAAGTCATTGTCTGATCACTTTAATAAATGGTTTAGTGCCTCTTCTATGTAGGCCCCAACCTAAATAGTGAGGCCAAAAATATAAATACCCAGAAGTAATCCTTGTATTTGTGTAACATTTTGAAGAAAGACATAAGGTACATTTTAAATACTCATTTAGTAGCTTTGTGAGGTAGTGAATCTTTTCCCCATTTTACAGACAGAGATGCTAAGGCTAAAAGGTTAATAGCAACCCACTAATATAATTAGTTAATAATAAGTAAAATCCAATTCTAAGGCTTTAGAATCCATATCTACTGTCTGCTTCATCAAAATGACCATATTCTTATTTCATTTCATTTAACAGTCCCTAAACATTCATTGAGTTCTTTAGAGTGTACTGAGCTGAACACCAGGCACTGATGATAGAGCAGTGAACTAAATAGATGCCCTCCCCCCAAAAAAAGTACTTACAGAGCTTATATTTCAGCAATATCATCCATCCGTACCCTTTCCACTGCCCCCACTGCCCCCCTACCTTGCAACCCCTGCCCAACCCAGTTCGTCACTTCTTGACTTAACTTCTGAAATGCTTTGTTTGACTTTGTAAAAATAATACTAACCAGTGTCATTTAAAGCACTTAATTATGTGTGTCAATCAACAATATGATTTTAATAGTGCCAAAATAATTTTGTGAGTTTCGTATGATTATTATACTACTCTCATCCTCCAGTATTTTGGTCATTGCTCAGGTACTATAACTTAAAGAAGAAAAAGCATAGGTTGGAAGTGAAAATTGTGTACTCTTAGTAGTTTTATAATAAAACTTGTATTTAAAGACATTGCTGATTTTTTTTAAAGATATTTATGAAGCTATACATTTTATACCATAGTTTTAGGATGGGTTAAAATTTCATGCTAAATGGTTTCTGAGTGTTTTAATTTTTACTTATCTGCATCATAGGTAAAGGATTTTATAAACTATGTTGAAATAATAGAATCCCATTTAGAATTATTTTAGTACTTCATTAAGAAAATGTAAAATGCTTTCATCATTGTGCTATTTCTCATTATAACTTGTTAATTTTGGCAAAGAAATGCTGTTTTAAATTCCCACTTGAAACAATATAAGGTAGGATAATCAGTATTTACTCAGTCAGCTTTAATACAGATTTTTGAGCAAGAGTATGGCAGATTGGCACCCTCTTTTGGTCATTTTATTTACCTACAGGCAGAAATGTAAGTAATAAAAATTAAGTTTGTCTTTGATATGTTTATCTCTGTCTTTTAGCTTTTACAGATCTCAACCAAAATAATGCTCTAAACTGGGTTCATATGAATAAGGTACACTATTATCTAGCTGTGCTTTGTTTCGGTAATTTTGTGGTTATTTGCTGTTTCCTCAGGCTGGCTCTCTAATTCTAGCATTCAGAATTGGCATTGATATTGCAGATTTTTGAACAAGCATTTATATTAAGCAAACTATTAGCTACAGTAGCACATTAGACAGTGTTTAACAATTTCATTGTCAATTTGGATTAATTAGAAAAACATTACATTTTAGTACCCTAAATAGCAGTTTTATTATTTGAATTGAAAGTAATTCGAGCTTCAGAAAATCGAGGTTGAATTACTTCAGTTTTTCTTCTCTCATTTTTTAAAAGACTTAATTCTGTAAGATCATATGGTAAATCGAATTTATATTATAGTTTGACAATATTTGTGTATAATAAGTTTGCTGACCAGTCCTGGAAATGGCCTATGCAAATAATTTATAATTGCAGGGGAGAAAGCTATACTCTGCCAGGTAGTTGAATAGTTTGGAAGGGGAAAATTTTTCTTGGTAAATTTTCAGCAAATTTGCTTTTGGTAGTTCTAGTATTTCAGAATTTCATTCGCCTGCCAAAGCCTCAAATTTAAACCAATTTAATAATACATAATAGATCTCAACTGTAGAATATTCTATGAACTATTCCTTAATACTTAAGTTATTCACTATATTTGAACTTCCTTGTACTTTTTCACTGAAATAAGTATTTTAAGAATTTATATCATGCATTGCTTATATAGGCATTTTTAGAAATATTACTTTCAAATGCCAACCAATTATGTTTGTATTGTATTTATTGTACCAATTTGAAGAAATTGAGATTTGCGTTTGATTTCTAGTAGGCCTTTCAGTATATTATTTTGCTAAAATAGATAATAAACTGTTTAGTTGAACTGTTGAATTGAACTTTTTACTTTGTGAGGAAGTAATAAGCAAGATAATCTCCGACATGACAAACTAATATAAAATGTCGAACTTGACTGTTTTTAAAATTTATGATTCAATGAAACTGTATTTTTAAATAAACAATGAATTTTTGTATGTTTCACTGAATGAATTCCCTAGTTTTAATACTAGATATGGCCATAAAGTTATTAGATAGGATTCTGAGAATATATGGCTTTAAATCTACTTCATTGTTTTACTCATACCTAATGGGTGATTCTATAAATACTGTGTAAATGTCTCATATAAACTTACCAACTTTACATCAGTAAATTATTTTACCTTATTTGAAATATACTTTACCTATAATACTTAGGAGTTTAATCTAGTAAAGGGACAAAAAAGTGGGATGATATATTTGTTTTCAAATTTGGATGCATGATAATGGATATATTGGCAGTCTTTTTTAACAGACCTACTGAAAGCTGTGTGTTGCTGTCATCCTCTTCTGAAAATTACTTAGATAACATCCCATTTCAAACTCCCATCCAGCCTTTCTCCAGAAGCCCTCTTAGAATCAAACTGTATCCAAATGGAAAATTTCTGTCTTATCACTTATTTGAAGTAACAAATTAAATTAGCTGGTAATTAGCTGACCAAATTAAATAGGAATGAAAAATACAAAGAATACTCTTGGAAATATTGCCCTGTAAATGGAATGCTAATCTCTAAATGCAGTTTATTAGAAAAATAGGATATTGGGGAAATAGTCAAAGATTGGATTGTTTGGATCTAGTAGGAGATATCTATTTTTAAAGTTTTTATGGTAATATCCTAAAGTCAGATTTGGTAGTGTCTTATACCCCCAGAATTTCCTTTGAATCATAATATTTTTCTCTAAATTTTATTCTGTCTACAGAGCTACTCTGTTTCTCATCTTAGTTTGTTAATTTATTGTTTTAACATACACTTAGTTCTTTGGAATCTTGGGGAAATGAAATGAGATAATAACTATAGATATTTATACAGCAGAAGATACTTTTTTGGATACTTATCAGATTCTGTAAGGATAAAGTACTCCTGGACAGCAAATTGCATGATTGGGAAGTTTATTAACTTTTTCAGGCCATTGTATGTAGAAGATTAGAAATGTAATTTATGAAATTGTGAGCTAAGGTATTACACTTCTGGGGACATGGACAAATATTGTACATCTTGTGTACAGATACAAGTGATCACAAAAGGCTTTCATTGTAAAGTAACCACCATACAGTCATCAGGGAATATAAAGTTTATCTGAAAAATCAGAGAGTGCTTCCAAATATTTCTTTTAACTTGCTAACTGTTGACTAAACATCTTAAAGTTTGAGTCAAATAGTTTACTTTAACTGGAAGTCATTATTATTCATGGATATGCATTTGTTTTTAATATTTCAACATTTGTGAAAGACTGTTAAAACCATTGCTTATTAGAAAACTACTTTTTTTTCATAAGTTTCTTTGTTTTGACAGTGATGTGAAATTTGAAAGTAAAGAACGAACTGCATGTAAAGGAAAGATTGCCATATCCGGTATGCTATAAATGAATCTTTTATATTGCTGAATAAATTCTGTAAAGTAACTAGATGGTAGATTTTGTTTCATGCCCTGTCTCCCATTCTCTTCAGTTTGTTTTTCATACCTCTATCAGAATATTTGTTGTAAAACACTGCTTTCAGCATTATGCTGTACATTTATATAGAACTTTAGAATTTAAGAAAACTGTTTCATACATTACATACTCTATAGTTTTCTCCTTAGTGCAGTCTTGTAAAATAGAGTAATTGTCATTTTCTACAGACTCAGAGGTTAAATGACTGTGCTGGGCCAAACCCAAGTCTTTTGACTCTGTTCCTTTCCTGCTCAGAAGCTATAATGTTTTTAATGTTTGTCTATATCAGAAGTTCCGTGAGGTTTTGGTACCATGTTTATTTTGGTCATCGGTTTATACCCAGAAGTGAGCACAGTGCTTGGCTCATCGTAATTGCTCAACAACTGCTGGACGGATGGCTGCTCTTCATTACCTGTAGTGTAAAGACCAAACATTTTTCTTCAGTCTTCCATTTTGACCCAATTTTTTTTCTAGTCCTATCTTCTATTACTCCTAAACACAGCCTGTCTGCTTTAGCAGACATCTCCTTGGCCTGTCAACATAACCCATGCTTCTGACACCCAATTAGCTTGTGAAATAACTACACTTTCTTAAAGATCTGTTTGTTCATCTATATATAATATCTTCTCTGTTACCATTCCAGCTAGAAATGATGTTTCCTTTCTCTGAATTCCTAATGAAGCTAGGAGACCCTTCACCACTAGATGGCACTTATGCTGTGCAGTCTCAGTTTCTCCAAAGTGCTCAGGAAGCTAAAGACAATGGCTTGGAGATGCCACACACTGAAATGAATACATGTCTGACTTGCACGTACACTAGTCACTTTTACAAATATTACCTCATCAGTACATTTTAGAAACAACAGTGTATACCTCCATTGGTCCTTAAGTAATCACTAGGTTATTTTATTGGCCAGAAGTTTTGTACTAGAGAGCCTGCTGCTGCATTTGAGTCATTGTCACCTAAATTACTGTTTCTAGTAATATTTTTCTGGATAAACAAAATTATCACACAGGACAGTAGACCTACATTTTACAAAGTACATAAATGACCAAAATCTGAAGAATTGCATTCAGTTAAGTAGAATATTCTTCAGAAAATAACTAGAATATATATAAATTTATTGCTTGTTTTATAGTTATTTATATTTGTTTTTATCTTTCTAATTATACAAAACATTTTTTATCCTTGTATCCTTTTGCTGTCAAACATATACTTTTATATAGTATTGTTCATTGTGTGTAATAAATTTTCTTGTGACTAAATTACTATAGATCTTTAAGATTTTATAAAAATAAACATATCCTTCATTTCTTGCTTCGAATACAGTGCCACTCAGTATACAAATGAGATATGTTAAGTTTTTGCTGTTAAACACTCAAATGCCATGATAGTCAACATCTATTGTCATTTCATAACAGTTTACTGACTGTAGCAATTCATGATATTAGAAATAACAGTACATTTAGAAAGGGGCTCTTAAGTAAAAGTATTTAAAATAAAAGGAAAAACAATTTCCTGCCCACAATTACTCAAGTGTAAAAATTGAACTTATTTCTGCATGTGTTTCTTCTTTCCAAAAGATAATTTTAAATTAAGAAACGGAAACTCTGAGAAAATGGGATACTTAGGTAATATCTTTTCATCTTTGCCTAGACTTCATTATATCTTGTGTGTGTTTGTAAAAACAGAAAATAAAAAATGAATTCACCTTTATAAATCCGTTTTGTTTTGATACTGGGATGAAAATGTGACTTTTTTTTGGTAAAGATGAATATTTGCAACAAAGTTTCATAATGTTTTGAGATTACTTTGATAGCCAGAAAATACCTGGGTTTTCTGTTTCCAACTGCACCACTCCCTGGCCAGATCTTTATGAAACTAAATAACAAATTTACTCTGATTATTTCTGCTTAACACCAAATATTTACCATATGTAAATGTAGTATTTACTGTAATTATATTGTGGTAATTAGCTTAGTCACCGACTACTAATTTAATGACTAAACGAAATCAGTTCACCAAGTAGCTCAGTTTTCACTTTTGAAAATGATAGACTTCTGGGACTTGATATCATCAAGTCAGCTGTCTTATGGCTCTCTCAGTTTACCATTAAAATGTCGATGAAGACATAAAACAAGACAAAGGCTAGAGTACTGTAAACTGAAACTGAGTCAGCCATTTGCAAGAATCTGGAAAGAAGTTCTATCATTTGAAGCTGAATAAGAAAGAGTTCATGGGTTACAAATCTGTTACTGTCTGAAGAGCACATGACTACCTGGGAAATCAGTATCCACCTTCTCTTGAGAAGCTGACATCTACCCTCCTCTCTTAGGCATAGGATAGAAGAAGGCTAACCCACAGGTTTTGGGTGTACTGCAAAGGATGTCAGGATCCATGTCCCTCCCATGATAGTGTAAATAGTTAATGCTCTGTTAATCCTAACTGAGCAAGAACAGCTGTGAATAAGTATAGTTGTGAAATGAAGTGAGTCAGCAATTGTGGTCAAGCAAGAAGTGGACTTTTTGACAGGACATCAGCCAAGTCATAATTATAAAACAAGGCATTTTCAGAAAAATAAAAAATATCTGTTATTTCAATATAACAATTTTAGAAATTCTAGCTAAAATAATAAGAATAAAATATGAAACTATTGAAAGTGGATAAGTTGAATACTGTTTGAAGATAATAGATTGTAGGCCAGGCACGGTGTCTCATGCCCCTAATCCCAGCATTTTGGGAGGCCAAGATGGGTGGATCACTTAAGTTCAGGAGTTCGAGACCAACCTGGCCAACTTGGTGAAACCCCATCTCTACTAAAAATACAAAAATTAGCCAGGTGTGGTGGCACATGCCTGTAATCCCAGCTACTCAGGAGGCTGAGGCAGGAGAATCGCTTGAACCTGGGGGCAGGAGGGCGGGGTAGGTGGAGGTCGCAGTTAGTGGAGATTGCACCATTGCACTGAAGCCTGGGTGATACAGAGCAAGACTCTGTTTCCAACAACAACAACAAAAAAAGATTTTAAACTTACAAAACCTAAGAGAATTTACTGCAACACTATTTTAATGAATGAAGAATTCAGTAAAAGTTGCTGGATTCAAGATAAATTTACAAAAAGTAGTTGTTTCTCTTTACATAACAATAACTAACTAGAAAATATAATAGCAAAAAAGATACCCTTTACAAGAAAACCACCAAAAAACAAAAACATTAAATATCCAAGAATAATCTTAATAAAAATGTAAAGGCAAATTATTATGCTAGTCTATACAAAGACAGAATATTGTAGAGCTATCAGTTCTCAAATTAACTTGGATAATGGAATACTAATAAAACACTTGAGAAAAGAGGATTTTGACAAAATTTGCTGTAAAATTTGCATAACGAAATTAGCAAGTAAGCGTATGGTGTTTTTAAAAACAGGCTCTTGCCTGTAATCCCAGCACTTTGGGAGGCCAAGGAGGGCAGGTTGCTTGGGCCCAGAAGTTGAAGAACAACCTGGCAAACATGGTGAAACTCTGTCTCTAAAAAAAAAAAAAAAAAAAAAGTGTAAAAATTAGGCATGATGGCATATACCATACACTAGTAGTCTCAGTTATACAGGAGGCTTAGGTGGGAGGTTTGTTTGAGACTGGGAGTTCAAGGCTACAGTGAGCTGTGATGGCATGACTGCACTCTAGCCAGAGCAACAGAGCAAGACCCTGTCAAAAAAAAAAATATATATATATATTATGATATTGGTATTTAGCTAGACAGTAATTGATAAGTGATTCAGATTCATAAAATGTATAGCTAAGGAACAGACATTTACTCAGAATGGCATATATGATAAAGATGTCATTAATCAGTGAGGAAGAAACATATATGGAGTTAGAACAGTTATTTTTATAAGAATATAATTTTACTTCACGCAAATTTCACAAATAACTTTTAAAAGTACAAACCATAAACAATGCGTAGAAAATATGCTGTTAAATAATAACACTTTATCTTTAATAGTCAGAATTATGGAATACAGAGGTTCAGGTCACTGTAAAGAATAAATTTACCAAAAGTGTTACTTATCGTGTCTTTTTCCCTTCTTTATAGATATTCGAATACCACTAATGTGGAAAGACTCTGATCACTTCAGCAATAAAGAACGTATGTATGATTTTAATTTGTAATTGAAATGTTTTCTTTAGTATGTAGTATATCTGTGGTTATTGAGAAAAAAGACTGCTTCCATGCTGAGATAAATTGATGTCATTTGACAGAATAAGCACCATCGTTAACTGTTTTCTGATTTTTAATATAAATATGTTGCAGTCACTTGATACTAATTAAGATAATGCATATAGAATATACTTTTAGTTGTTGATAGGAACTAGTGCAAGGACAAAGTACCAGGTTCAGAGTGGGACAGGGGAAGAGAAATATGGAACAAAAGATAATGTTTAATGAATAAAGGTAAAGCCAACATTTCTTGTATTTGACCAGAATCTGGAAGGTTTTTCTGCCTTATTTTGTTACTCTAGGTTATTTAACAAGATGTAATAAGGAAATATTTTTAGCTTGATCTGATTTTTTTTCCTTCAGTATTTTATGGTTTTATTTAGTCTTTACAAATCTATGTATTGCTCAGGTCATGGAAATTAACCTCGAATGATTTCTAGCTGTTAGAGGCAAAGTGGGAAAGATATGATAATCCTTTAACTTTCTTGTCTATTGTGATAGCCTTGTTCCTTGTACTTAAAAAACTGAATCATATTAAGCATAATTAGTTTTATATGAAGAATTTAAAATCAGGTTAGTATTTGTTATTCAATTAGGAAATATAATTTACTTTACAAAGGAATACATGTGGGAATTAAGTAAAGCTTTCTGATTACTAAAGAGAATAAGTTTTTCTGAAGAGCTACATTTTCTCAATAATGAGGATTTAGCCCTTTAATCACCTAATACTTTTTAAAACATCACCAAATTAAAAGGCCTAGCAGCTATGTTTTTTGTGTTCTCATGTCTATTTTATTGTTTTTTTTTTTTTTTTCTTCCCCCTTTGGTTTCCTCCCTTGCTGTTAGTTTGGTGGAAAATATTTCGCTGTTGTTAATGTGCCTACTCTTAACCTCTTCTAATAAAAAACATCTTTTAAATAGAGTTGGAAACCAAAATGACAGAGGTGGTAGGGGGTGGATGTGTGTGTGTGTGTATGTGTTTGTGTGTGTGTGTGTGTTTGTGTGGTGTGTGTGTGTACGCATAAAGTTTACTATTAATTAAAGTTTAAGGAGTTTAATAGGAATAAAATTTGTGAGTTTGGTGGTTTCTTTAGGCTGTTGAGAGGCCTGTATATTTAACTTTATTTTTTCTTCCTTGTTTAGTTGTTGTGTTCTAGTTGAGTAAGGTATTCTATATACTGGCAGAACAGTCATTGTTAGATTTAAGGGTTACAGTATACAATGTATGAGAATAATCTGTTAACAAATATTTAAGCTAATATTTTTTATTTTCAAGTAGATTTTAACATAATGGTTTATTACATGGATTGTTGCTTAAAATGTTATTTTTCCTCCAGGATCGCAACGCTATGCCATTTTTTGTTTATTCAAAATGGGAGCTAATGTGTTTGATACTGATGTGGTGAATGTGGATAAAACAATCACAGATATATGTTTTGAAAATGTAACCATATTGTAAGTATTTTTTTTAATCTTCAGAGAATAAAAATAATCTAAAATTCTTTTTTAAAAGGAAGTTCTTGTTATTGGGTCTTTGGATTCTTTTTATGTTTTCATGTTTAAGTGATCTTTAAACGTTTGATATGATTTTAAAAATTACTTTGTTCAAAAGAAGTCCATTTCTCTATCTGCAGTTTTCTGATGTAAAATAAAAATGGAAATCTTGTAATTACTGTTAGCAGTAAATATATGACTTATTAGATATGATCAATTTTTAAATTATTAATAAATATTCATAGTTCAGTTATTAACTAAGCTGTGCATAAAACAGGATTTTTATTTCATATAGGATATTTGGTTGCAGAAATACTAAAATAGGAATAGCAACTTTATTTACAAGATAGTCCTGAAGTGCATGCTATAAGAAGATCATGTTGAAATTTTGGTGTGTTCTTTTTTTGTGATGTACTTCTTTCATGTACTTCAAAACAATAAAAAAAAAATGGGTGATCCTCAGGGCTGTTTTTATTGTCCCTGCTCTTTTATAGGCTCATTTTATTGTGGTCATAATACAGAATCAGAAAGAACTCCTTGGGTAGCCAAAGAAGTCATTTTTAACGAACATAGTTTTTCCTGCCCTCCTTCAAAGGTTCTATGCACCTAAATCAGTATGGGATTTGTATTTTAGACTTTTAAAGACATGATCCTCATAGATAAATGTTAATAGCTAGTAACTGTTAACATAAAAATTCATATGCATGGTTTTTGCCGTTTTCAGCTATGGAGCTAGACAGGTGAGATTTCAGAGGCCTAGTTTTGCCACTCACATAACATTAAAACTATAGCAAACCATATTTTGTGGGTTTTGATCCAGTGTCCCATAGTAACAGTATAGCCTGGAAAAATAAAATGCATTGTCCTGGATTGTAAGTATTAATGCAGGCCTTCTTACAAGCTGTATTGAACCAAAGGAATTTATTTAGGGTCCAAAACATATCCCTAAATGCTTATATAATTGAGGCTAAAAAATTATTTTTTCTTGGTTATCTAAATACATTCATTTTCATTATCGACTATTGCTAGCGAATTTATTTTTCTGCCAGAATTACCTGTTAATGGGCTCTTTTCTTCACATCACTTTGCTATTGTTTGTTTTTGTCACAGAGACAAAATCAGACTTTTTTTTTCCAGGGAGGGAACAATAGAAGTTAGGAAGACAACACATGATTTATAATTTCTTGAAAATTCTGTAAATATTTTAAATTGTTCTAAAAATAACTGCCAACAAATGCTTTAAATGTTGAAAAATGTGCTTTTTGTTATGATGATTGTTTTTAATAAGTATTCAATATTTATGAATCTCTGCTTTTTCTCTAAATATTGACATTTGTTAGTCATTACCAAGAATACTGTATGTTTAAAAGTTGCCAAATAATAAACTATAAAAATAGCTGGAAGTTATTTCTGGGATTTATTCAAACTATAGATTGGCCATTTATATCTTTAAGAATCTGTGCTCCATTTTTTAAAACCTCTGAAACTGATGGATCTTCCATCTGCAAGCAACATCTGCTGCTGATGGACCTCTTTTGCAGTCTTAAGTATTTTTTATTGTTGGTAACACCACCACAGTCTTTAATGCTAAAGGTGGTTCATTGAGTCTGAAAAAGGTTAAAGCCAATCTTAACATTTGCTAAAATTGAAGAATTTTGCATATTGATTTAATAAATATATATCTAATACTGTCTACATTCCAGGCACAATACTAGATTAAGAACACAAAGATCACCCAGACAACACCCATTCTCAAGGAATTCATGCTTTGAAGTATATATTTTCCCCTATATAACCAGATAGTAAAATGTTATTTATAGTTATTAGGTACAAAAGTGAGGGAGGATCAGAGGACACAGTGACGAGTGCACTGTAAGTGACTCTTTATAAAGAAGAAATGAAAACTGAAGGTTTAGCAGATTTTCTTTTGGAAGAACAGTCATTTCAGAAAATTACACATATAAATATCTTAAAAATGTATTAAAGGATGACTAGGGAAAATAGTATTAGCAACAAAATGGCCAGGGTATTTTATTCTTTCTTTAAGATGCCTATGTATATATTAGTTAAATTGAGTTAAGATTGCCCTAGTTTTGAAGCTGATATCTCTGAAAGTTGCAGTAACTCTCTCAGGTCATTTAGATGCTAAATAAACACTGAGATATTGTCTCATTAACATATATTAACATAAACTTATTTCAAATTGTTATTTTTTTCCCATAAACCTTGCACTTATTGAGGAGATTTTGCAACCTTCTCTTGGCTCCCCTGCAGTCTTTTATTTTAAAAATAAATTTTATTGTGTATATTTGAGGTTTATAACACGATGTTACAGGATACATATGAATTGTAAAATGTTACTATAGTCAAACAGATTAACATCCATCATCTCACATAGTTACTTTTTTTGTGACAAGAGCAGCTAATATCTATTTAACAAAAATCTCTACATAACACAATTTTATTAATATTTGTTTTCATGTTTTTACAGCACATTATATCTCTAAACTTTTTCATTCTCCCTCCCTATCTGCTATTTTGTGTCCTTGGACCTATATCTCCCCATTTTATCTCCCCCAGTCCTTGCCTAGGATAACCACTGTTTTATTCTCTATTTCTGTGGTTTTGGACTTTTTTTTTTTTTTTTTTTTATTCCACATATAATTGAGATCGTACAATATTTTTCTTTCTATGCTTGGCTTATTTTACTTAACGTAATGTCCTCCAAGTTCATCCATGTTGTACCAAATGGCAAGATGTTTTTTTTTTAAGGCGGAATGGTCTTTGATACACACATACCTCATTTTCTTTATCCATTTTACCACTGATGGACACATCTTGGCTATTGTGAATAATGCTTCAATGAACAGGGTAGTGAAGATAATTTCACAAGGTAATGATTTTGTTTCCTTCGAGTATAAACCCAGAAGAAGGATTGCTGGATCATATAGTAGTTCTATTTTTAATTTCTTTAAGAACCTCTATACTGCTTTCCATAATGGCTGTACCAGCAGTATTCTATGGTTCCCTTTTCTCCATACCCTTGTCAACATTTATCTCTTGCCTTTTTGATAATAGCCATCCTAATGGGTGTGAGGTAATATCGCATAGTGGTTTTAATTTGCATTTCCCTGATGTCAAATGGTGATTTTTAAATGTTATATAAACATAAAAGAATAATTTTATTTTCTACCAAATTAAATTTCTAATATTATGAATACCCTTGTTTTTAGTAATGAAGCAGGGCCAGACTTTCATATAAAGGTGGAAGTATATAGTTGCTGTACAGAAGAATCTTCTATAACCAATACACCAAAAAAGCTAGCTAAGAAACTCAAGACATCTATAAGTAAAGCTACAGGAAAGAAAATAAGTTCAGTGCTTCAAGAAGAGGATCATGAGACGTGCTTGCTCCTCAACTCTGCTGTTTTGTAAGTTTTCAATACTATATTTATGGTGACATAATAATGCATTTGTGATATTTTAAACTATTGTATGTGAAGTGTACCTTTACTTTATAAATGGAAAAACATCCTGAAACAAAAACAAACTTAGTTGTTTGACATTTATTCAACTGAAGTATCCTTAATACCCACCTTTAAAGGTACGAAGTTGGGTGAGAGTGTTTTTAGTGATTTGGAATTCTGACACAGGTTGACTGTCCCTTATCTGAAAGCCTTCAGACCAAAAGTGTTTTAGATTTGGACTTTTTCAGATTTTGGAATATATGCATATATATAATTAGATATCTTAGGGATGGCACCAAGGACTAAACATTAAATTAATTTTATCTATATACCTTATACATATAGTCCGAAGATAATTTTCTATGATATTTTAAATAATGTGGATAAAACAGAGTTTTGACTTCAACCATCACATGAAGTCAGGTGTAGAATTTTCCACTTGTAGTGTCATATGGCCATTCAAAAATTTCAGATTTTGGAGCATTTCAGATTTTCAGAGTAGGGATGCTCAGCTTGTATCTACCAAAAAAAAAAAAAAAAAAAAAAGAAATGTTGTTGGAAAGGAACTATGTGTATGTCAAAGTATTTCTTTACATATTAATCTACTAATTAAATTTCTGTATGTCATGCTTTATTCTTACAGAAAATATTTTATCTCTTGAACAAAACCACATTATCATTATTATACTTAACTAAATAAAAAAATAAGTCCTTAATATCCAGTCTATATTCATATTGCCCAATTCTGAAAATATCCTCTTGATTTGTTCAAATCGAAATCCAAAGACGGTCTAAAATATCACATTGAAGTGAGTCTTTTAAGCTTCTTTTAATCTACTACAATTTCCTGTCCTCTTTTTTTCTTGTCATTATTTATTGAAGAGACTAGGTCTTGTAGAATTTTCCATATTTTGAATTTAGCTGATTACATCTTTGTGGTCTTTTTTTACATCTTTTTCTGGCCCTTGTATTTTTTTGTAACCTCGTAGTTAGATCTAGAGGACTGATTAGATTCAACTCTCTTTTAGGGGAATAATATTCATGTTTTTAGATATACTTCCGACTGGCTTCTAGTAGGAGGCTTTGTCCCACTTTCAGTAATGTTAAAATAGATCAATGGGTTCAGGTGTTGCCAGCCTAACCCATCCAGTATAAAGTTCCCTCTCAGTCTTTTATCTAATGGTTTCTAACAGTCAAGGCTAATCATTTATTATATCATTATGGATTATAATTTGGTGACTTTAGATCTGTCCTGCATTTTTCTTCTAAACTGGAATTCTTGCAAAGAATGTGTTCTGTGAATTTTCTGGATACAACTACAATAAAATTGGTGGCGGAAAAGGAAGAAAAAAAAACTTGATTCTTCTATTTACTAGATTTTAGAATATTAAGTTGAAACCCTAGTAATCATGGAGGTGATCAGCACTTTATTTGAACTCTTGAATTTTTTTTTTTTAAAGACAGGTCTGGCTCTGTCATTCTGACTGGAGTGCAGTGGCACTCTCATCTCACTGCAGCCTTAGCCTCCTGAGCAGCTGGGACTACAGGCACATGCCACCATCCATGCATGGTGGCTAATTTTTGTGTTTTTCTTGTAGAGACAGGGTTTCACCCTATTGCTCAGGCTGATCTCAACCTCATGGGCTCGAGCAATCTGCTTGCCTCAGCTTCCCAAAGTGCTGGGATTACAGGTGTGAGCCACCATGCCCAGCCTTGAATTTGTATAATATTTGTGTTTCAATCTGCTATTCTCTTTGATGCCCAAGTTGTTCATCTTTGATCAGTCAGAAACTGTTAAGCTGACTTCTGCATCCTTTTGACACAACCTAATCTTTAATAGCTTTTTTGCTTTCTGACACAGTAAGACGTTCCTCTTTCACCTTGTATTTTTCTGCCAAGACTTGGAATCACCATTTCTCCAAGGAGTCCTGGTTTCCTTCAGATACTTTCTTTAAACATTGTATTTGTTTCTTCACAAATAGTTTTATGTTTATGTTTCTTTGGAACACTGTTGATCAAGCTGCATTCCTAGAATTTCTTTGTGTGTCTGGTAGAGTTGGCTCTTCAGCATGTCAGTAATTTTACTGTAATTATACAAAGCAAAATATTTTAGGTATATATCCTAGAAATGCTAGTAATCAAAATTTAATTAAATTGCTCTTTTCACGTGAGATATATTACATGCAAAATATACTTTGGCACGCTCGCATAGTGTCTTTCAATCTATTTTGATGCTTATGCTAAAGAATACATTTTACATCATGACTGAGTGCACAGTTATGTAAGCAGATAGATTTTAGGAAGCAATTCTTAACCCTTACTATTTACAATATAATTATCAGGCATTTTCTTATTCTTTTGCTTTCAGTTTTTTTTTAATGCTATTTGTAAATTATTAAGTTGATTTCATGACCCATGAATCAGTCCCAGTCCACATTCTGAAAAACAGTCATAGAAGATGTCTTTCCAATATAAATGTCATTTAAAAGGAGGCAAGAGATCTTTAATTTTCTTTTCTTGGATCTAAGACCATCTTTAAAACTTATCTGCATTAATATTCTATCAAGGATTTGCTGGAAGTTACTTTAATTCAATCATAAGGTGGTGGAATTAATTCTTTCTGATGATTAGATAAACAATTCTATTTCCAGGTTTTAGAGCAGAAAGAGACCTTAGAGATAATTACCTAGTTCAATAGTTTTTAAACTTTTTAAGTAGCATAACTCCTATTTTAAAAATGGCAGGACCAGTAAGTAGTGTCTCTTTCCAACTACACTATATGATAGAAAAGTTACATTTTTCCCTCACTTTGCTCATATGAAAGGCAAAGGTGTTTATATACAACCATTTCTTTTTAGAAAGCTTCTCAGACATTTATGGGGTTTCATGCACCTTTACAGCATGTAAAAACAGTAAATGTACGTCTTAGTTTAAAACCTCATTGTTTGGCCATGATTGCTCAATTTTTAATTTCCCTCATTTATTACTTGTATGACCCAAGAGAGATTAATTTACTTTCTGAGTTTTTATTTTTCCTTTTGTAAAATGGAAATACTAATATCTAAACTCCAAAGGATAATTATGAGATTCAGTAAGATAATTCATGGATGTGGTTTATAAAGGAAGCATTTTGTAGTAGGCTCTGTTACCATTATTGTTACTATTTTTACTGTTCCCAGACCAGTCTTTTCTAGGCCTTTTTTTTAAACTCATGCTAAAACTTCGCCGTTTAGAAACTTGACATAGGATTATAAAATGCAACCACATTTTTTATAATTTTATAGGAGATCATCTAAATGATGTTAGAAACTATATTTAAGGCCAGGCGCAGTGACTCATACCTGTAATCCCAACATTTTGGAAGGCCGAGGCAGGCAAATTGCTTGAGCCCAGGAGTTCATGACTAGCCTGGGCACTGTGGTGAAACCCTTCTCTACTAAAAATACAAAAATTAGCCCAGATGTAGTCCCAGCTACCCAGGAGGCCGATGTAGGAGGATCACCTGAGCCTGGGAGGTTGAGGCTACAGTGAGCTGTGAATCTATATTTCTTTTTGGAAGGAAGGGAGGGAGGGGGGAGGGAGGAAGGAATATTTAATCTATATTTCTTTCTGAAGCCTAGAGGAATTTTTGAGAATAATGTTATTGTGCATTAAGTTCTTTTTAACAGACAGGCCTATTTATCTTAGAGTGTCTATTTTCCTGTTGAGAATTTTTCATTCTATTTGGTTTATTCTTGAATCCAAACACTACTTTTACTTATGAACATTGCCCCCTTGAAACTTGCATGGCATTTGCTTATTTTATACCATTAAAATTGGTCAAAAGATAAAACCTTTTACAACATTTCACAAATCATATTCTTCTAATACCAGTATTCTGCTGACACTGTAGTGTGAACCCAGAGTCTACTAGGTTAACTTATAGCCCAGGACTACTCTTACCTGATACCTCCTTAACTGACCGCTACAGCACCATGGTAGGAATTTAAAAATCAGAATGCATAACAGGATCAATTTTGTATATTTAAGTGATCTAGGTCAATGCAAAGATTTCTAATACAGCTTTTAGTTTTTAACCAAAATGGACACGTAAAATGATAAAATTTTTCCTAGTAATATGACATATGACCAAATACAGCTGTTCTTCCTAACAAGAGTGCAGTTTTTAGACTACCATTTAAAGTAGCCATTTATTTTTTTCATAACATTCCCCCTCCTCAAAAAAATGTTATAACAATTGGCCTATTTGATAGAAAAAAAAATGTAGCTGATTAAACTTTTGGGAACTCAGTATTAGGGTTGGCTAAAAGGAATGAGTGTAATGTTTTAGAAAGAAAATGTTATCCTGACAAGAATGTTTTAAAAGTGAGGTCACTGTTGGTTTTGGAAGCATTGGCATTGTAGTTAGTCATGGTTTAAAAATGAAGCAACTTGAAATATCTTCATAAAGTATTGTTTGATCTGAAAGAAGACAGTGAACATTTTTGGTAATTTTTAGTATGCTCCCTGATAAGATTCATTTTATTGTGGAATTTAGCTGAGTAAAATTCCTTTAGCTAGATTTTCCCAGTGCCTCTACTAGCTGAATTAACTATTTTGTGCTCCTTGATAACTATTTAGTACATCATTCTTTATTGTATAAATATACATCATTTTAAATGATCATTTTGTGAAAACTGGTAAAATTCAGAGTGATTATTTACTTGACAAAAGTATTGTTTCTTAAAAGTAAGCCACTAATACTACATTTTAAATATGATCGAAGTTATAAAACATGTGTCCTAACACTTGTTCAGAATAAGTGGATTATTTATGTTTTGAGGAACAAGACTGTTAAAGATTTGGCGATGTGACAGTTAATGTAGTTTGTAAATATAACTAAGGGGTTACTTAACTATTGTATATAATTAAATCATTGTAGGAATGATTTTTCAGCAGTTATGTCATGTGATCCATTCAAAAGT